AAGTCCCATGATGCTCCAAGTAGGGTTCCTGCCCGCAAGGAAAGAAGAAGAGCAGGGATACCTATCGATCCCGGGCTTCGGCGCAGGTGCCTTGGGCTTAGGGTTTAGGGTTTAGGGTTTTAGGGTTTAGGGTTTAGCGTTTAGGGTTTAGGGTTTTAGGGTTTAGGGCAATACTATTCCTTGGAGTCCCCTACAGTAATGACAATAATGAGGATGGCGATAGTAAAAGAAATTTAATGCCGATAATACCAGTACTAAAATTTGTATTAAGAGTAATATAAGAAGAAGAAGAACAGCAACGTTGTTGAAGATAGTAGTAATAGTCAAATTGGTATAAGTATTACCACAACAACAACAACTACTACTACCACTACCACCACCAGTAGAGGCTTTAGGAGCTTCAGGGTTCAGTACACCAACAGATCATACTACGTTTCGGACCACAGGACTGGCAACACCAGTCTGAGATGAGAAAGCTGCTTAGTGGTGGCAAAAAGTCCGTGTTCAATAAGGCTTGGAGTTATATTGCAAAAGAACCTGGAGAAACACTTAACACAGAGAGAGACAGAGAGAGAGAGAGAGAGATATATATATATATATATATACATATTTCATTCGTGTGTGTACAAGTACATATGTAGAAAAGAGCTAGTGGAAAGAAAGGTAAAGAAAGACATGACACAATACTTCCTGGGCAGACCCCAATCCACGTCGTTCTTGGGGTTTTTCGCGTGTAAGGGTCCCGTGCTGGTTTTGGGTTTCGTTACAGTTTTGTTTCAGGATCGTGTTGATAGTTTTAAAGGTGTCTTTCAGGGATCAAATTGAGGGGTTCCTGGGGCTGTAGGATTGCTAAGCCTGTAAAAGACCCCAAAACCTATTTCCCGTTCTTCACCAGAACAAGGACCCTCAAAACAAACCGTCCAGGAAAAGCTCTCAAAAACCCTCGGCGAGCCCCTTCAAAGTGCCCTTTAAGCACGACCTTCAAAGCAACCCGTTGACAGAACTTGTGACGGAGCCCTTCAAGCGACCCGTAAACGAACTTTCAGGGTTTAGGGTTGAGGGGCCGAAAACGCAAAAGCAGCACAGCCCCTAGATCCTGAAACCCTGAACCCTGAACCCTAAACCCTACACCCTACCCCTACACCCTAAACCCTAAACCCCGCAGGTCAACGACCGCTATTTTGTAGGCGACGTTACGTCTTATGCCGCCGGAAACTTCACAGCCGCCGGGAGCCCCAGTTCGGCGGAAGGGCTCCTTTAAAGCCCTAAACCCTACACCCCAAATCCTAAACCCAAACCCTAAACCCTAAACCCTAAACCCTAAACCCTAAACCCTAAACCCTAAACCCTAAAGCCTAAACTCTAAACCCCAAGGGTTCCTTTAAGGGTTCCTTTAAGGGTTCTCTGAAGGGCTCCTGCAAAGGGCTCCTCTCAGGGTTTCTTGTTGGGTGTTATGGGGTTTCGACGTGGAAGCCTGAATACCAATTTGTGGTTTAGCGGTTTAGAGTTTAGGCTTGAGGGTTGAGGTTGGTTTTCGAGACAAGCAACTTGTCGGGATCTCGTTCATTCTGGTCGGAGACTCCCTGCTGATCCCAGTAATTTGCTCCTAGTATCATGATGCTCGCCAGCGCTGCTTTTGACTGCCTCTTGGTCTTATCACTTGTATTTTCAGTAGTATCTTTTGGGCAGAAGCTCATTATTAGTGCGATATTTTTTGCTTGTTGTTACTTGCAGGAATTGTTTGGCGGCTATTTGTTTCATAACAATTATTGGCATTATTAGCAGTAATAGCAGTAGTAGTAGTAGTAGTAGCAGCAGCAGTGGCAGTAGCATTAGTAGTAGTAGTA